AATTATCCAAATATTGATATGTCCAAGATCGATCCTAACTTTTTGAAAAGCTTTGATTTTGTTTCTCTTGCAAATTTACTTTATAAAATACCGCAATATCAACAGCAAAACAAACTTTCCAACAGTGTTAATTCAAATTTACTACTACAACCAAACTTAATAGTTTCAAAAATTTATCAAATAAGGACAATCAATCATATTTGGAAATGTATCCGAATAACTTTCTTCATCAATACAATGCCTTTTATTATAACAAACCATTATTTAACAACATTCACACTTTGCAATAAATCATAAATTTATTTTCATATATTTTATTTATTATTTTTTGCTCATTATTTTGTATTTAAACTATTATAATCAATAAAAGATGATTTTTTACCAAATTTCATGCTTATAAAACCCAACCGTATGCTTCTTCAAATATGATATAACATTTTCAAATGAGTTCATCCAGTTTTTACATTTCCTAATTTGTAGACAATTACAATCTAACAATTATTATAGAACATCATATTAATAAACGTAAAAAACGTTTCCTTTTTTTATTTTTTGTTATCATAAGTGGTGATCTCGTATAGGGTTCCTAACCGTAATTATAACTCCATATTCGAATATTAATATTCGTAAAGCCAAAATTACGAATTTCGAATATTACTTCGGATATTCGTAATTACTTCGGATATTTGTAATTATTTGAATGCTCGTTGATAAAGTTTCTTTTTGGACATCATCAATTTGATTGTTCATTTCAAGCTGTATCAAAAAATTATTAATAAATTATATCATCATACAAATCAAAGAAATTACCAACAAATTTTATCAGGTGTAAGTATATTATGTCATTTTAAAAATGATTTATACAATTGAAGTATTAGGAAAATTTTTCCATTTGGGTTTTGAAAGAATTACTTTTTAAATGAAAATGTTTCTGAACAAATATTTTAATTGTTGTGAAAATATATGTTATCTTTATTATCTTTGAAAAATGTTTGTTATAAGTTATAAATAAGTTAATGCTATTTTTTATCAATCGATAATCATTCATGAATTGTTACAATATTATCGTAACAAATGTTTGAAATGATTATATTCAAAATAAATACAAGTATCCAAAATAATCACGAGTATTCAAAATAATTACAAAATAAATTATATATATTCAAATATTCTTGAATAAATTGATTTCCGAGTAAAAATTTGATTTTCGGTTAGGAACACTAGGTAGGATAAAGGAAGTTCTAAATCCTAAATTTTTTAATTTATTACCTGTTAATTTATAACTTACTAATAACTTCGGTTATAAAAACCCGAAGAAAAGTTCCTGCACAATTGCCTTTGGTATTTTTACTTGAATAAATGAAATAAAACAAATACATAATTCAAATAAAATGAATAATTTGAATAAACAAATACTAATAAAACTAATAAAATGAAATAATTCAAATTATTCATATAATCAATTTCTTTGAGTTTTCTTCACTTGATGCATATTCTAAATTTTTATTCAATTTGTTATTTGATTTGTTTTAAATGTGGAGTTTGCTTATTTTGTCTTGGCCTTTTTTTAATTGGAGGAATGTAAATTTGTTAGTAATGTATTGTTTGTTGATTACTTAAAAAAAAATACGATAATCAATTTTTTATTAACAACATAAATAAATTCATATACAACACATGTGTACGTAGTAAATAATTATAAAATAAAACTGTCTAACATAAGTTGTTTTGGATTATCCGAACACGTTTATGAATTTTGATTTTAAACTATTTATCATTTTTGATTCTTGATAGCTAATTGTAAAATTATCCGGTGGATTTTTTAAATATTGAATCACTTTTTCTAAATTATTCAATGCCTCTTTATAACCATCATTTCCACTTCTTCCTCTTCGTCAGAGTCATCAACCTCACGATTTGGTTCACTGCTCTAGTAATTTTTTCATCAGTAAAAAAAAAGGAGGATTAATTTATTGTTAAAAAAATTAATCAAGAATAGAATGTGTTAAAATTATTTGTGCATTATTAGAAACCACATTAACATTAACCATTAATGTAAAAGATTGCCATAAAACCACGATTTCCACTATAACGAACAAATTTTATTATAAAGAGGATTGGGGAAATAAAAAAGTATATACACTATAGGCAAAATCCACTATAACGAGCTTTGGCTGTATAAAAAAATCGATTTTTCTGCAATTGATTAATATTAATATTTAAGTGATCAGTTGAAAAATCGAAAAAAAATCAAGTATATGAGGGAGAAATAAATAAATTAATAAATAAGCAAATAATATAATAACAATAATAACAATGGTAGTAGTAATAAATTATAATAATAATATATAGTATAATAATATTTACTTTAATTTTAATTTCAATTTTAGAAGTCTTTGGTTTTTAAATATCATAACCTAACGAACAAACCCATACATAATATACATACTAATATACATTATTTCATTCTAAACGTTATAAACATAATAATAGCGCTAATAATAACAACAATAACAGCAGTAGTAATAAATAATAATAGTATTATTTGAAACAATTTTAATTTTACAAATCCGTACACTAATATACATAATAATATTAATATTAATATTCTAAATATAATAATTGTGTGATAATGAAAAAAAAACCCCCCCAATATTTACTATTTTAGCCAAAAATATTTGGCAATTCCTTCTTCATCAGTTTCTTCGGAAAGACTTTTCACTGATGCGGGACAACAAATTATTTTGTTACGAAATAGACTTTGCTCGTAATCCGTTGATCATGGCTTTCGGGTTAGCCCGTCCGTTCGGAGCTTTAGTTTCTATGATGATATCTAAGGTTTGATAACTTCTGATCGTACACTGCCAGATCTTACAAGAATATATGGTCACATAACAATTCTTTTTGATTTCGTTCAACCATTAACCTTTGGAAAAAGGAATACCTTTTAATTTAATTATTATATTTCTAAATATATATATAAAATATTAAAAAAAAACATATTACCATTACTTGAGTCCATAAAACTAATTAATCAACACCAGATGAGATTCAATAATTAATGCTAAGGAAACGAACAATTCTAGAATTATCGAAGCTAATGCCGTTCAAAAGTAGAATAAGTCAATAATC